CTTGGCCCTCCTTTTCTTCAGGGCCGTTGCTAAGTGCCAGCGTCCGCTGCACTCAGGATTGGCTGGGAAACAAGTGCCCTTGTGGCACAAGCAAGCGCCCATTATGGGAACGCAGGGCGCCTGGCAACTAGGAGGCAGCAGCTCTCACCTTCCTGGGGGAGGGGCTGAACTCTCATGTATAAAAAACTCCGATTAAGCGCTCTATTCTCTCTTCTGCCAGGCCCAGTGGAGGAGGGCCGGAGAGACCAAATGGTCTCTGCGTTCCTGCTGCCTCCTTTTCCATCTCTCTGCTTGGGAATGGTGGTGAGCATGAGCTTTCATGTTTGGTAACCGCAGCTGAGAACGAAGGACCAGGACACCCGAGGGAGAAAATGGCCAAAATACAATGCGATAAGTGAAGAAAAGATAAAACTTGTGCTGCCTAGGTTTGTAGGGGCAGAGCAAATGGTGCTGATGCTTACCTAGACAGGATAAGACCACCATGGCAACTTGTTACCTTTTCTTTTATCCCAGGTTGATGCCTCCTTTACCTCTTCAGTCTCCTTCCCTTTTTAAGGACTTGCTTTACACAGCACCCTTTCCTTCTGGGAGTTGACCTTTTGGTTTGCATAATTGTGAGTGCAATAGTCTTCGACTCCCCTAGCACTTCCTCTCCTCCCTGTATAAAAAGATGATCTTGCGCTGTAATGCCAGCTTCTTCTTCAATACATTCATAGCTTATTACTCCAGACTTTATTAAAGTTTTAGCCCTTTCCAGTAGTTGAAAATAACATTAACACTTAAAAGATTGGGGGAGATTTGCCAAAAATGGACAATAGAAATTGAGAGTGAAGAGTCAAAGAACCTCAACACCAGCTTTTGTGTTAGGCAAATTTGGATTCCATGGTTCTACCACTTAATACTTATGGATCTTGGGCAAAATATTTCTTTCTGAATGTCGGTTTCTCTATTATTAAAGAGAGAATGATTATGCTTACCTTACAGAATCATTGTGAGGATGAAATGTATTGAGTATGTAAAAGTGTTTGGTACATGGTCTGACATGTAGGTAATTCAGAAAATGATAATAATTATAATTGATACTAATAAGTGCCAGACTCTGCATATTGCTTTGGAATAAACACATCAATATGAGTGAGAAAAAACATTTACCTTCAAGGAATTCAGAGTGATAACTGGTAAGGTGAAGTAAATGCAATGCAGAGAAATTTTAATCAGTCTAGGTGGGTCAAGGTATGTATCTCTCAATAAAGAGAGCTAAACTGAAACCTGAAAACTGTATTATCTGCCAGGAAATTATAAGAATAAGGTAGAAGGAACAGTCATGAAGCAACATGGTAATTGGAGCTTTGGGAACAGATGGAGGAATAAAAGCTGAGAAAATAAACGGAAAATCACTTAGACTTTCAAGTTTCAGTTAGATTTTGTTCTTTAGTCCTTTTCAGGCAATTTCCTGTTTTGTAAAATTGTGGAAAATCATTACTTGCAGATTTCCTGAGGTTACATTAAGTACAGATGTTGCCTAAGAGCATCTTTCACATATAAGGTGCTCAAAAAATTATTGTTATTATTAATCAATGGATGACTAGAAACCATTGAAAGAGTTAGCTTGTTTGTGTGAAAGGTGAATCAACATAATGCATCTTGTGGATTTGAAAGGGGGCAAGATTGGAAGCAGTTGCAGCAATCCAAGAACAAAATGACAGTGTGGAAAGGCAGAGATATTTAGGACAATGGACTGATAGATTTTGGATCAGCAGGGCATAGGGGTGATAGAGGCAAAGGGGATAGGATATAACTAACGAAGGAGTCTAGGTTAGAAACAATTTGAGATCTCCATTTCTTTTAATATTCCCCTGTGGTAGCAGTTTAAAAATTTATTTTTTACAGTTGTTTTTATTACCTTTTTGGTGTGAGATTGAGACATATTTCCTCATTTTGCTGTGAGCCATTCCCTTGGTTCCAAGGTAAATTAATACAGTATTTCTTACAAAAGGATATTTTTGACAACCTAAAATAAGTTGATTGGTATGGCATGCAAAATTAGAACTAAGCTGTTCTATGGGATGTTTGTAATAATTATTTCAAAATAACTATTTGTAAAACAAAAACTGCTGTAACAACTATAATTATAGTTGAAAGTATCAACTATATAGAAATTTTGTTTATGCTTCTCAGTCTACTTTGGCAGTTTGTATCTGGGTTTAAAATCATTCTAACAAATGGGGCAGACACTTATGAAATTGGGAAAATAATTTCTAAAAAAGGTAGTATAATTTTTTCTTGCCTTTTTATGTATGTGAATTATTGTTTTCCAATTATGCAAATAATAGATGAATACATATTCATTGTAGAATTCAAACCATATAGAAATAAAGGGAGTAAAAAGTAAAATTACCTCTTCTATATGGTTTTAAATTATTTCTATATGGTTTGTAGAATTCAAACCATATAGAAATAAAGGGAGTAAAAAGTAAAATTACCAGAGGAAACCACTATTAACAGTTTGATTTGTATCCTTTTCCACAAACATAATTACATATATTAAGTCAGTTAAAATGGAAAAAAGTCAGTGATAGCAGAGAAGTTAAACACAGTCTTTAAAGCCAGACTGCCTGGATTCAAACCCAGACTTTACCTAATATTACTCTGTGTGATATTGGGCATCTTATCTAACTTCTCTGTACTTCAGTTTCCTCATAGGTAAAATAGTGATTATAATATCTGTTTCATAGAGATGTTATGATGATTAAATTATTTAGTATATGTGAAGTATTTAGAAAAGTGCTTGGCACATAGTACATGCTGGAATGTGATGGAATCATACCGAATATATTGTTCTGCAACTCAAATCCCATCAATACACATAGAGGCAATGCAGTATAGTGATTAAGAGCATGGGCTCTGAATCTAATTGCTTGGTGCAAATCCTGGTTCCATCATTTACTAGCTTCTTGACCGTCAAGTATATAACCTTTCTCTGTCTTTGTTTCCTCTGTAAAATGGAGATAATAGCTTGTTTTAAATTAAATAATATATTTAGAACAGTTAGAATGACTGCTTTGTAGTAAGTACTTAATAAATGCTTATTATCATTCCATTATTAAAATCCTTAGTTTAGTATTTCATGTAAGAGATGAATCATAATTTAACCATTATCTTATTGATAGTCATTTAATTTATTTTTAATTATTCATTATTACAAAATCTGCTTGATTCTCTACTGATTTTTTTTACTTACAAATTTAAAAATAACCTTGCCTCTAGCCTCACTTAAACGAAAAGAAAAAAACACTGTTGTTAACATTTCCCACTGTCATTGTCATTTGCATCTTGAATAAACACTTTCAAGATCCTCTTTCGGTATGTGATCATTATCATACCACATATATGATCAACCCACATCATTTTCCTATGAGTTTTGTTCAGTCTTAGGGCATGAATAGAAAGCAGAACCATTTCATTTTGTGCAGTAGAAGTTATCTTCCTGAGCTATAAGCAAAAGCTGGGAAACAACAAGCCAAAAGGGATTTTTCCTGTGTTTAGACTGTTGGAATCTCAGAAGACTGAATCTTTAGGTGTCCTGACGTTCTGGAAAGGTAAGTCTAAATTCATACATATTTTGTGTTGTATTATTTTATTTTCATCCCAAAAGTCTTTAAATATGAATAAGTAGGTTTCCTGGAAACATTTATATATTTATAATAGACACTGTAGATCTCTAAAAGAAAAATCGTGTCTTGAATCAAGTCTGCTTTTTCCTTTTGCACACTTATAGAGTATATAGGGAAAATTAGGAGTCTTAAAATTGTATGCAAACCATGTGAAATACTGAAATAAGTACTTGGGAAATAAGATTTAGGTCCAAAAGAAAAGAATGGAAGGAAGAAAGGAAGGAAAGGAGGAAGGGAGGAAGGAAGGAAGAGAAGGAGGGAGAGGGGAGGGAGAGAGAGAGGGAGAGGGAGGAGGGGGGGGAGGGGAGGGAAAAAAAAAAGAGAAGGAGGGAGAGGGGAGAGAGAGAGAGAGAGAGAGAGAGAGAGAGAGAGAGGGAACGAAAGGGAGAGAGGAGAGAAGGGTAAGAAAAAGAGATGGTAATGAATTTCACAAACCTATTCGTATTTATTTATTGATTTATTTCACATTTTAACCATTTTTTAAGTGTGCAATTCAGTGGCATTAAATACATTCACATTATAGTGCAACCATTACCACTGTGGTTTCAGAACTTTTTGTCTTGCGAAACTGAAACTCTGTGCCCATTAAACACTAACTTCCATTCTCCCCTACCCCAAGCCATTGGCAGCCTCTATTCTATTTTCTATCTTTTATGAATTTCTATTTTCATTTAGATTATTGAAAAAGTAAGTAGCTACATTTGTAGTTTAAATGTGAAAGTGTTCATGAGTCCAAACTATATATAAATATCCATCTCTCATACACATTCTAAGGTATAGTAATGTCTTTCAAAGTGTGACTCAATTGACATTAATTAAAACAGTTAAATTAAGACCAATTCCTTGAAAGCAGGCTTCATTTTAAGTAGACTGTTTGAAGATAGTTAGGCAGTTTAACTAATAACTTTAAAATAAATCATTTATGACAGCTGAATACACACACACACACATATATAATTATACATTTGTATAAATTTGTACTTTTTAAAACACTTGTGTGTACACCATATAATACTATCCTGACAATAACCCTGTGAAGAAGTCAGGGGAGTATTATTATCACCATTTAATTGATAGGAAAATTGAGACCCAGGAATGGTAAATAAATTACCTGTTAGTAAAAAGTTAATGGAAGAATCAGAACCCAAGTCTCCTTACTCTTGGTCCTATTCTCTATCCTTTGAGAAATACTGCCTCCCTAGATCAATTGTGTTTCATATAGAAGATAAATCTTAATTTGACACTTTAATATATGTTGCCTTAATGAATTCTTTTATATTACAGCTATATACTGCATTCTTCTGTTTAGAAACCTGGCCTAGTAAAATGCTTGGAGAAGCCTTCTTAATTGAATTTCTATACAAAGAACAGAAATATACATTTTGCAAACCATTTACATGTAAGAAGACCTTAAATGATAAAAAGGAAACTTGGAAAAAGCAGCTTTTAGATACAGAAGACAATTCACTTTCTCCTGATAAAATGGAAAATCAACATAAGTTTGTGAAAGAAAGTTTAACAGAGCAAATTAATGATACAAATAAAATAAAATCTGTGGATGAAATAACTGCAGCAAAATACAAAAGTGCATCTCTTCCAGGAAATGTGTCTGTTGCATACCTCATTCCAAAGAAAAAACAACATGATGAAAGACAACTGGATTTATATCAATCATGGTCATGTACAAGTATTTGCCAGAATTATCCTGACCTACATATTGGAGGAGACCATGTGGGGAACATGTATGATTCAGGCTGCTTTGGGGAACACATACGTGATGATGCTTTTAATGGTCCCCTCTTACTTTCAGTAGATATACCATTGGGTCATTCTCCTATCATTGAGCCTCTAGAGAAACCACCTGCCTTAAAACTTTTGAATGGGGAAGAAATTCGAGAAAAAAGTATGTTGCTTTATAAGCAGCCCCTCTCTAATTCTATGCTTAATAGTTATATGGAAAAAAAGGTGGATGAACTCTACAAACAATTTTTGGAAGAAAATCTCACTAAATGCCTCTCCATAACCAATCTTATGGCTTCTAATTTGCTTATGAATAATGTAAATCAGATTAGTCTTCAAATTTCTCAAGAGAATAACATAGAGACATCGAAAACTCGAGAAGCTCTTGTACATTCTTTAGCAGTATGTAATCTCTGTGACATTTCCCATGAAAACAGTTCTGAATTAAGCACTCCTAACCTACAAATATCAAACCAGAGAAGTAGAGAATTAGTATCACATCTACTATAGGAACCAATTGTAGGTTCGTTGGCCTGGCTTAAGAGACTGGGGTAATAACAGTCTACTGTGGTTTATCATGTCATATCATATCAGGCATCCTTTGGGGTACGGATATTAACTTTTGAGAAATTATTTGACCAAAGACACGTATGCATTATTTTAAGAGACAGTTTTAATAATTGTTTCATGATCATATTTTCTAATTATTTTGGCATCTTTAATGATTGCCACATTCAGGTTTGTGAATTCCATATGTACTTATCTAATTGCTACCGGCAGCCCAAATCGGTTACCTTTCATTCATCAGTTTTACCACAAAAGTGATAAAAGAAAGTGAGATGAAGAAAGGATTATTGCCCTCAGCTACTGAAAGAACAGCTAGAAACAATATCAGACAGGAGCATTTATTTCTCCACAAAATGTTTAAAGCCGTATCGGTAGTGCTTAAACATACTTATTTTTATTTTCAACATACAGAATTATTTTACACTGACAATCAGAATAGTCTAAGGGAAATTCTTCAAACTAAAGTTAGATTTAAGTAATATTTGAAAAATTATGGAAAAAGGACTTAAGAAAAATGTAGAATTTGCCAATGGAATTTGCAATTGAAACTTGATGCTCTTTAGCTTTCCTGGGGGCAAGCATCATCGTTTTTTTTTATATCACTATGTTATTTATGGTGGTTTTAAGGGATGGGAGAAAAAAAGGTAAAGAGAACAAAGTACATAGAGAACCGCCATCTGTAAATGAAGAGGCTCTCTTAGCAAGTTTTTACACTTCTCAGGTTATCCTCAATCAAGATCCTAGATTAGGATAAAAGTCAGCACTATGTTATGGAAATTTTGGAATCTAAATTGAATAAATTAATTAACAAAACAATTCTAAAAGAATGGTATGGTTTGTTTCAGACTTGAAAACAAGATTCTGTATTTAACACCTTACACTTCTAGATACAGTAAGATGATTGGCATGCACTTTTGTTTGTAAAATAAAATTGTGAATTTCTGTTATAGAATTGTTATGATAGCATTATATATTAATGAGATTTGTACATTAGTAATCACATATTCTCCTTCAATTATCTTTGGTCTTTGATTAAATTTTATAGAATGAATTATTGCGATGCCCTCACAGCTTGTTCTTTCTGATCGTACAGTCCTTAGTTTATTTTCATCCTCTTTAAATGTCTATGATCTAATAATAAGCACCTTGATTTATCTTCTCTTTTTATCTTCCTCACTCCTTTTCCCCACATCTTCTATAATCCTCCCAATCAATATCCATCATTCAGAAATTTAATTCTGAAGAGACAATGGATAAGGGTTTTAGAAAACCTGACTTAGTGTCTTGTCTTGTAGATAATGAAAAACTGCTGTGTGTGCATTGTCCTATATATTGCTAAATTTGTACATTTTAATATGAGTTACCAAATGATAAAAGAGTGATATTATTCTTCATCTTTTTAAAAGTGAATTAAATGTTGTTTGGTAACATTATTGGTGTGAAATTTTCTTAGATATAGCAATAATGTATTAATATTTTAGTTGTAAAGGAGATATATTTATAAATAATGTTAAGACTGTATAGTATTTTATAAAAGGCCACAGTATTTACTTAATATCAGATTTAGAAATATATTTAATTATACTCTTAGATTTCGATTTTTCCCTCTTGTTTATGTCATCAAAATGCTTATTATCTAAAAGCACTCACTTGTTAAAATGGCCTAAGAATTCAAAGTATTTAAATAAGGAAAGATGATACATTTGTTGTTGATTTTTATTTTTATCTCACAACTGCTGCCTTTAATGATTGAATGAAACATGAATATGAGGTTGTGGTTTAGCATATTTTGGCCTTAAGTAGTCACTCTTCATTCTGTCTTTCATCATACGTTTCACTTATATGACCATACTGTTCCCTTTTAAAACATTATTCAAAATGTGTGGAATGATGAATTTCTTTCTGTTTCACTTTTTCAAGAGTTCAAAGTATTATTTTGCACTTCTATAAAAATAGAGAATGTTAATGATTAAATAGTTGGGAAAGATCATCTTATTTCTGAGCAGGGAAGGAGTTGAGGAGGTTAAGAATGATGCCCGATAGTCTTGCTCCTTACTTGTATGTCAGTTTAATTTATATCTCATCTTTGAATTTTAGGTCACTATTGAAGGGTCAAGTGGGTTTCACCCACTCCCAGGTAATTTTCTGTCAGGAATGTCCTTAAATTATTGAAACCAATTCAAGGGATAGAGTTTATACTGGAATCCTGGAATTTTTAGGCTTTATCTATCTGTTTCATGGATTAATCTCCAAAAGTAGCCAGTCTTCCTGAGGTTCTGAAGAATAGAGGTAATACTGAGCTGATCCATTCAAGATTGTAAGCAGACTTTCTGGCTTTTACCATTAGCATTTGCATCTTCTTAAAACTATTTTTTGGAATAAAGAAATAAATAGTTCTCTAGGGATATTTTCCCACATGCTATTTACTTTTTTGTGAGTCTGTTTTGAGGGCAAGAGTATAGTAGATCCTTATATCTACTATAAAGTAGATCTTCGAATATATATATTCTTCAAATAAAATGAATTTAACTTCAGGTAACCTGACTAATATAACATTACTACATAATGTGCATGTTGATGAAGGGTGGAAGAGTGGCTTGATAAAGATTAATATGTGTAATAAACTGGAATAATTGTGAGGTTAAGTAGACAATTGTTTTCAGTCAATATGGGAAAAAAATCAAATCAATAGCAACATATATTCATTAAATCAAATTAAAACTAATTTAACATTTTTATGACTAGTATTTGCATGGAAAATTAGCCAATCAACTATATATTTGTGAAAATCCATGATAAACAAAATAATAGTTGAAAGCAAAAAAATAAAAGAGGTTATTATGCTGAGTGAAATAAGTCAGACAGAGAAAGATAAATAACATATGATTTAACTTGTACGTGGAATCTAAGAGACATAAAGAACAAACTAATCAAAAACAAACTCACAAATATAGAGGACAATTTGGTGAGGGCCAGAGGAAGGACGTTTGGGGGGCTGGGAGAAAGGGGTGAAGGGTTAAATCAGTATAAATTAGTAGTTGATAGATGGTCACAGGGATGGGAAGCACGGCATAGGGAATGAAGTCAGTAGTAATGTAATGGCGAGGTGAAGAGCCAGAGGAGAGAAAGAACGATTAGGGGGATCATTTTATAAACTATATAAATGTCTAACCAATGTATTATATACTTGAAACTAATAATAAAATAAAATTTTTAAAAAAGGAAAAGAAAAGGAAATGGTGGCAGAACAATGTTCTCATAATGTTGAAATAAAGATAACTATTCTTTTGAAAAATACTTATTGGAAATTTGAGATGTTTGAACCCCGATTGTGTTGTGTTCTTTTCCTCAAGGTCTAGTGGAAATTTATAAAAATGGTCTTATTATTACATGTTGGTTTCATATTTATTATAGTGTAAATGTATAGCATCATTTGCCACAATTTTATGAAATAGCCTTTAAATAATTATATTTAAGAACATATCTATAAAAATTATGACAAACAAGTTATGGTATATTGACATCAATTAAAAATACTGATTCATTGCTATAGATAGCTAATTATTTAGTTGTTGGATCATAAAGAGAATTCTCCTATTTCTATTTAAAGCTGAGAAATTTGTAGCTTACAGAGTTGCAATGTAGTTCTGGTTTTTATTTCCCCAAATGAATAGAGGCAGTTTATCATGAGACCTAAATTATCATAAGACCTTATTTATCTGCTAGTGACTGAAGTTCATAGGTAGGCTAGTTCCTGAAATTTATTTCTCTCTACAATTATAAACTCAACACATATCTACCAAATAGAAGTTGAGTAGAACTGAAAAAGTTTAAGAAACAGCTCAGGTTTCCAATGACTTGTTTGGTTCTACCCCTCTCCATTAAGGATTCAATTCTATTTTATGGATGCCATATAATTGTAGAGCACCCTTGTATTCTTCCTTAGGTGAGGCTTAAGAATTGATATATAAGGGTTTAAATGATATGGGACCGGCTTGAGACTGGAGCAGACCTCCAAGGCCAATTCAAGATCAAAATGAAATATCAGAACTTTCTATCCTCTAAATAGACACATCCTCAAGACACTCCAGGTACTAGGAGAAACTGACTGGTACTTACTCATTAAACAAATATTTATTGAGCAGTAATTTAGGCAATAGGGATAAATGGTGAATAAAATTTATGTAATTACTGCTTTTCACTGAGGTTACAGTCCAGTTGATTTAGAATGAAAGAGTAAAAGTAAATTATGATTCAATTTTGGGGCCATGAAAGTTATAGCATGTAGCTCTAGATAACCCATGCTGGTAGTTCTGTCTGCTTGGCCTATTCATAATCTAATCTGAATCTTGTATCCATGACTACTATTTGGTTGTCATATAAGCATGGCTCTACTGATTATTAAACATGTTGAAATATTTAATATTTAATTGGAGATTAACCCATGAAACAGATAGATAATGCCAACTGGTAGAAAGCTGCTACCCCCAATCCTCCAAGCCCTCCCATGACACTATCCTGGCCTCTCTGACTCCTCCCTCTGGACCTTTGTATGTCTTTATGATCCAACAGCTAAATAGACAAATGAAGGGCCTTTAGTACCCAGATCCAATACTACCCATGTCATATAAGTACTATTTATGTGAGTTCTTAAATATTTTGGCCCCAACTTCTGTTTGTATCTACTTCTGTATTGAGATTATTATTCCAAAAATCTGCTCAATAACCCTTACTCCTAGACTTGGGTCCTGCTTCTCTTGCAACTCCCAAGAGAAAAAATGAAGATGTATTCATGAACAAGAAATCCGTGACTGGAACTTCCTCATGGTCACTTTCTTTCATTGATTCTCTCTTGCCTTGTTTTGAATTTTTGCACCTTCTCTAAGGTAATTTGTTTCTTGATATATTACCCAAGTGCAGGATGACTTGTGGAATTATTGCCTGCTACCTGTTAACCAAATTGAA